TTGTTTAATATCCGAATTAAGGTGCTTAACTCGGATATTCGCAGTTCGGTGAAGGGTCACTACAGTGCAGCACTGTCGAGCCCCCCACAGATTACTATCTTAATTTCTGTACCAAAAGGGATACAAAACTTGTTAACGATACCCAACAATCGATTTTTGTTGTCGTTGAGCCCCTTCTTGTTGCTCCATGTACTGCTTGCCGGATCAGTCTTCTCCCAAGACCCTTCCGAATTGAGCGCAAATCAGCTGACCCTTCCGGATTGAGCGCAATTTATCATTAACGTGCTTAAATGCTCAAATAACCCTACAGTACAAGCCTCACAAACAGGCTACAAAATTGATCGTAACAATCCTGACTGATATAAAAGCCTGCAACAACAATATATCTATCAACAACAACGGGGGGGTCGGATCACATCTTGTCTGGGGGGATGATTTCTACTGATTTTTTACTTTTTTCACTGTTTTTGGTTTTTTCGGTTTTTTTTAATGTTTTTTGTTTTTCTTGGGTACTATACTACTTTTTGTTTGGTTTTATATATATCTTTAAGTGTTTTTGGTCACAAACCTCTCAGGGAACGAGGGAATGGCCGATCCCCCCGCCCTTCCTGATTCCTGAATTTTCGGTCTTAACTAAGTTAAAAAGCTATTCACGGTAATCCGGAAGGCTTCCGCGTTCCGAACTACCCTTCCGCCCCGGTGGCTTAGTTCTTAGGCCGTTGATGTGAGCATCCGCTCGGCGCGGAGTGATCGTTAACGGTTCTGCCGGTCATGATGTTAAAAAAGAATAACACCCAGGAGCGCCATAAAAACATGTATGTAACATTCGCCCGGAAGATACATATCGACGGAAAATAAAACTAAGTCCTAAGACGACTGGCTAACGTCTAAACAGAGCTCTATATGCTTTTCACTGTCTCTACCAAGCCAGTACTTTTGGTGGTCTTTTCTAACATCGGGTCGACAAAAAACGTTACTGCTTTCGGCTTCGGTCAAAACACTCAAATTAACTAGATTACATGCAGAAATAGTGAGCTCATGGCTGGGTCTCAGTATCCCCAGACCACGAGGTCACTCCTAAAAACAGGGCTACTACTTATTGAATTATTATTGTTTTTGTTCATTAGATAAAAACCATCATCTCCATCGAAGATGGATCAACCCTTTCCCCCAACTCCTAGGTTCTCATCCTTATCAAAATGAATCCAGTTGTTAATTAAATTCAATTCAGGACATGACAAGAAGCTAAAAGTTTATATAACAGGATAAAAGTTTCAGTCCCGAAACCCTTCCGGATTCTTGAATCCACTGAATCAAGTATGTTAATCTTGATTTCTCCGTAATCCGGAAGGCTATCTTCCACCCTTCACCGTTGTCTGCAACGGCCTTGCAACTATTGTAGCGACACAATAGTTGCAACTCGGAACATTCTTCTGTTCTTCTCTGTTGTCTTTCTATCACAATCTTCGTTGTTTTCGTCAGTGCGACTATCGTTCTTCTGTCGCTTTTCAGCTTTTCTGCCAAAATGGCCGTTTCTAACGTTTCTCAGAAATGTTACGTCATCACTTCGAAAATTTAAAATTTAGCAATTTCCGAATCCTTCAACCTTCACGTTTTGTTCAATCGTTCGAATAACGTTCTTAATCCTTCAAAATCACTAACTCGGAAGGCTCGCTGCTAAAAATTCGAAATCTGCAGAGATTTCAATTTGTCCATTCTGGTCGAATGTCACATACTCCCCGGACAGTCCTGTCAATGTCCTCATTGAATCACGCAATGTTCGTAAAATAGATACAGTGTCATCGAACAGAATTTACAAAATGCACGAAATTACTTTTATCTACGTCACATCGACTCACTGCAGAATACAAATGGCATCATACTACATCACTATAGCCTTCAAATTCTCTCATTAATCTGCACATTGAGGATATGACTTAAGATAAAACATATTTTCTGACTTCCAATGTCAATGTCCCGATTAAAACTTTCCTATTAGATTTAAAAGGTGTTGGCTTGCAGGACAGTCAGTTACAAGATCTTTATATTTGTCAATTTTTCGCTCTTCCGCTTCAGCGGCAGCCGTACCAGGGTTACAAACAGACCCGGCATTAATCCTACAAGGAGCTAAGGAGTCTACTACCGTTACATCCCACAAGAGCTGCTTACCATCAGCCCATGGAACGAGCGTCAAACCGTCTGGTCGCTTCTGATCGGTCCTGTAGAGGTGTCGTGGTTCTAAAACAGACGAAATGTGAGTAGATGATAGACTCTGCTTTATAAGGGCATTCAGGTTTGAATGCCTAGAGAATCTCCCTGCACTTTTGAGGCAAAAAAGACCATGCCAACCATCCTCGGTAACGTCTTTTCCGCGCACGCATTTATGCCGTTCGCATATTTTTGATCCTAATCGAAGTCCTATCGCAATTCTGAGTTGTTTGTTTGACAGTTTTAACCTTAAATTTTTGCACGGGATGACGTTCAACCATTGGGATCCAAATCTATCTTGGAACGCGTTGAAACTTTTTACTTCCGTTGGTTCGAGTCGTAAAATCAAGTCTGCAATTTCGCTGTCAAAAATTGGCTCCGTCCAATTTTTTTGGATTTCATTTTCCGGAGCCATTTCAATTTTTCCAAAGTCAAACCACCGTTTAAGCGCATCATCATAGGTTCCATCCACATGCTCCAAACCAAATATTTCGCTCAAGGCATCTTTCGCTCCTACTGCTGAGGCTAAGAAAGCGGGTAAAGCGAGTAGACGAGCGGAAGAAACACCCAAGCCACCTTTGGCTGCCGGGAGAACTGCTTGTAAAAACTGGTTATCATCCATTTTCACGTTAATGACCTTGCATAACGAATTTCTTAGTAATTTATCGTAGCGTTCCAAAAAATCATTTTGCAAAAAACAAGGGCTCGTACGCAAAAAATATAGGAGTTTTGGCATGCTAACGCAATTTTTCAGGAGGTAAAAACCATAATGGGCGTCTAGTTTGTCAATGACATCCGAGATTTTTTCAAGCTCCCTAATTTTTTCGTCCAGCAATTCTTTTCGGCAAAGTTCGCCGATTGGAGATCCTAAAATGAGGAGTTCTTCTTTTGTTTTTATTTTTATTTTGGGGCATATTTTTCGAAATTGTGTTAAAATTGAATTATACTGTGTACTAGTAGTCGGTCCCAAAAAACAAAGTTCACACTTCTCAGTGTTTAAGCTCAGGCCGTAAATTTGTTCCGATTTCAGAATGTTTTTAAGGTCCCGGAGTACTAACTTATAGTCGTCGGCTAAATTCCCATCATCTATATATCAGATGTTAATTTTCGATTCCAACTGTTTGAATAGTGTATGAATTGTGTCCGCAAAAAGGGGTGGGGCTTCGGGATCACCTTGCTGAGTTCCATCTTCTGACATTATGACAGAGCTTCCATAAAAAAGGTAACTAGGTTTACCATACGCGCAATGAGTGTAATTATACAATTCGGGGCGATTTGAAAAAATATGATTCAGCATTGTTTCTCTGTTTAAAGAGTTAAAGGCATTCTTAAAATCTAGTTTTAAAAAAACAGTGCATTTTGGATTGTTGTCGCGTTCAATTAGGTTTCGAAACGAGTGCGCAGCTATGTCTGCTCCTCGTTTGGTACCGCATCCTACCTGTACGTTTCCGAAAAAATTTTGTCGCTCGGAGAGGGCCTTGCTTCCAGCGCATTTAGACGCGATACGTCTCAGCGTGTTGCCTATGGCAATCGGTCTCAACCCTCCGTCTATTTTTATGAGGGCGATAAGCTTTGCGCCAAAAAAGAAAGGTCTTAGTGGTTCCGGTATTTTGCCATCTCCAATGAGGTTTATCAGCTTAGTAAGCGATTTCACTGCCATTCGACTTACTAACAAGATCTTTAAAAATTTGAGGAAATATTTTATCAGGACCTGCTGCTGATCCGTTTGGAAAGGACATTATCGCTTTGTATAGGTCGAAATCGGTTACGAAAAAACTATCCATTTTTTCTGGATTTGGAGCTGCAAATTTGGCTCGCTGCGGGTGCTTAGACAACAATTTTTGATAGTTATCAGTTGAAAAAGGAGCTATTTTGTCATCCGAAGCAGCAAGCCTTATTCCTCCCTTTACATTTCCTTCATCGAGCTTACTACTTATTAACTTTATTCTCTGCTCGAGGTCACTCAGAGGCGGGCTTGAAACTTGGGGATGGGGTTTTGGAAGTGACACGTCATTTGCTCGAATTTTTTTATTTATCAAAGAGCTCATGCTTGTGGTCTGTTTGCGTCCACTTCTTTTCGGTTGCTCCAAAAAAAGCAAGAACGACGTTAAAAAAATTAGCCATTTTGTAACATCTTCTACATTGTAGACGATGTCATTTAATTTGTCCGACAGAATTTCTGCCAAGGGAACACGCGAGTCTTTTGGCACTGAGTACTCGGACATTTGAGATGGCTGTATTAACAAAATTGTCTAGCACTAAATCATTACCTATTGTTTCTTTATTAACAGATTTTACATCAACGCATAAAAGACACTGAAACCATTGGGTTTTCTTAGAGTCGCTAAGAGAAATATTTACCCAGCTGATATGATACCAACTAGAACAACAATCACATCTAATCCAATTTATCAGTCATGAAGGTTTTAAGCAATATTTGCTTGCACACTCTTTGTTGTTTTTCCTCATCTTGACGCAGCATAAAGGTAAAAAAAAGGATTTTGACTGGACTTTAGGGGACTGAACTAACCCATGATAAGCGGTTAGTGGGAATTTTACAAATCAGCATATAAAAAAAAGACAACTAAATTAATTTAAATTTTGAAATCGAATTATAAAAATCAAAAACAAGGAACAATCTCACCCGAGCTCAGTAGGTCCAGCGGCGCACCACCAGACTCCTCAAGCCAGTTCCAGTTCCCCACCTCCCCACAGAAAGCCACTTGACAGACCTGTCTCTAAAATCCCTCAGAGGGCGCTCCACATACAGGCACAAACATCAAACATAACAAATCTATTTAATAAGTTTATCACAACAATTAGGCTAATCGCACAACTGTTTTTGTCAAAAAAATGTTCTAAAAAGATCAACGTCATTTTTTCAAATTTGTTTCAATTTTCATTCCAAAAAGGGCACTACAAAAACTTCAAAAAAGATAATTAGTTAAAAAAATCAAAGTTTCGTCTTCAAAAATTAGCCAGCTCACTTGAAACTAATCACAAGTAGATTAAAAATCAGATTGAAATTACTTAAAAGTTAACAAAAATTTAAACTGGTTTTTCTCGATGAGACAATTTCTTGATTTTTTTTGCTGTTCGATTCAAGATTGGAAGCAGTTCAAGATGATATATCACTCCACCCATTAAAAAGAATAATAGTGGCGAATGATTTTGGTTTAAAAAACATCGCCAGCAGAGAGTTGGAAAAGAGACAATGAACGGATGTAAACAGAAAATAATGGCATGTTTTTTTGAACTTTGTAATTTCGAAGAAACAAATATATGGCCTTAAGGCTCTTAGGTTTTCTAGAACAACATATGATTGACTCTTTCTAAGCCGAAACTTAACCCTATTCGAGAAAACTGGATCAATAGGCAATCAGATCAATATTTCGCCGGAAAATCAGAATGAAATTCCAATTTCGAAGCTAAACGACAATCACGTTTATCGTGACCAGAACACTTTGGTGTTTGATAGTGGAGTTTCAATTCCTTGTAATAAATGGAAAAACTGAACTTGAAAAGAAACCAAAATTCAAACCGCGAAAAAGTAATTTTGAGCGTGAAAAAATATAATTACTTTGTATGAACTACTTTTTCATGATTCGACTTTTGGTTTCTTTCAATTTCAGCTCAAGTCCTTTGACTTTGATCAAAAACGTTAATGAATATTGAGAAAGCGTTAAAATGGTAAATTCAAATAAACGTTTTCGCACATTTTTGTGCATCTTCAGGTTTTAAAAATTCTAAGCTATCTGTACAAAATGATCAAAGATCATAAAAAGTGTCATACACATCATTATTTCAAAATTTGCTTAATGCATGCGGCATAAAGCAAAGAAATTCATATGGAACGAGAGCGCAGAAGGAGCATTCCAGAGGATAAATAAAGAATTGTTCGCAGCTCCAATAAAGGTAAGTACGTACTAGATACTGATGAGTCGGTCAGGGAAAGTTCAGGCTGCTTTGGGTACCGTGAATGTTTGGGTAGCGATAAAAAAAACTAAAAAATCTCAGTAATTTACTGAAAAATCTTTTTAATTATTATGTTACTTGTTATGTAATTACAGTTATTTGGTTGGTCAGAAAATTTTTATTCAGTTTTGAGACATGTTTGTCACTTTTTTCAGATATTTGACCGTACTATAAGAATTGTAAAAAAAAATTAGATCCTGATGATTTACAAAACATTCGTAAGCCATTGAACTAACATTTCAATTTTCTTATAAAAAAAATAGAGTTCTACAATAGAAAAAGCAAAGGGGAAGCAGATAGACCCAAAATAATGATGGAATCACATTAATAGTCAAGGAGACATACAACAATCGATCTTTGACAAGGTGGCTAAATAAGTCAGGTTGCCCAATCGAAGATCACACGGAGCTACCCTAAGAAGAAACGATGATTATGATACTGGCCTTGAAAAGATGGATACCGATGGAAAACCTACTCGAGTCAAAATTTGTCAGAAAATGCCGTAAAACGAAAAGATACATTGCTTAAAACATAAGAAAAGGTAGGAAACAACTGGAACCTGCACTATAACGTAGTTAACAGAAACTAACGGAATTCCACCAGAAGACACAGAACCGGAACTCAAAAAACTATAGAAATCAGAGCGACTATAGGACACTAGAGAACATCGAACCGTAGTGGAAGATGAATGCCGTGAGATTTTGTGCTCTTTGTTAAACAAACTCTCAGAGAAGACAGTAGAGAAAACAACTGTAAAAGAGACAAAGAGAGTTTCATCCAAAAACAGAAGAGAAGTTTTTGAAAGAAGTATTGAGTCCGGCGAGTGGCAGTTGTTGACGGAAAAGGAGGAACAGGAAAGTTTTTCCCGGTAAACGAAAAAGTCGAATTCAGAGTGAAATTTGGTAACGACTGATGGTTATGCGTATAAAATATACAAAATTCTAATGGACCCAAATGAGAGATCAAGACAGGGAGTTAAATGCAGATCTTTTTTAGGGATTATATGGAGCTGAGGATGATGATGATGAGAGCACAGGTGAAGAACTAGGGATGATAGCAGTCTCGAGATACCTTTCCCAGAACTCTCATGCAATCAGAAGGTGAGAACCAACACAGAATCCGAGAATCACCAGCGCATCTTGAGGTAATTCATCTTTGTAAAATCGACGATGACAGAATCGTCCTGGGATCTTTTCTTGACAAACCATTGCGCTGAAAGCACATTTGAAAGCAATGTACAAATTATCGGACCTAATGAGGGCTGAAAAGAACGTCAAGATGACGAGGGGCTTTTCCAATTGGATAAAAACAAGAGAAGGTGAAAAGGGAGATCTAGAGGATGACAACTACAAAACTTTGTGCCATTTCTATAAAGAACCAACGGAAGTCTACTATCACACGGCAGATGGATTTTATCCAATTGGATAAAAAGAAGAGAAGGTGAAAAGGGAGATCGAGAGGATGACAACTACAAAACTTTGTGCCATTTCTATAAAAAACCAAAGGAATTTTACTATCACACGGCAGATGGAGTTTTAGCAGAAAAAAGGACAAAGAGAACATCTTGCCCCGCACAATGTCATCACAATATCACAGCTGTAACAGAAAGAAGTACTATTTAGATCGCAGGACCAGATGGAACATCAGGGCTAGGATGAAGTACAACAAATGATACTACATCGCTTCACTGGTCAGAAATGAGAGAGGTTTAGGAGAGACGGATCAAGGTATGCTTATCGTGCCTACAACTGAAGGAATCCCGAAAAATGACACTCCTTCTGAAGACGGCCGAGAGCTCAGAAATCATTGAAACTGTCATTGACTGTGATCCCAGAAAATCTACATAACAGATTCGGGATCTAATCGGAAACTAGTGATCGTAGATCAAAATAAAAAATTAGCTGAGGCAGTATTATGTCAAATAGCGACTGCGGAAAAATAATGCGATCTCTTGATAACACAAGGGACATCGAAATAAGGTTGTCAGATAAGGGACATCGAAATATGAATTTTTAGTCAGATAACGTCAAAACCTTTTTAGAGGAGTTGATAAAACAATTAATGAAACAATCAAACATCGCTTAAGCTCATTCTACAATTTATCATTCGCTGACAAATGCATTGGTGGAAAGACACAACAGGACACTGGTCATTCAGCTCAGGGTTTATTGATCTAGATTCAGGACAGATTGTTACAAGCAGATATCTCAGGTGGTAGGGGTGTTTAATAGCAGACAACTTGCATCCACTGGCATCAGTCCGTTCTTGATGTTGCCGGAAAATGAGAGAGCGATGCCATCGATATTCAACTGAAACACAAAAAACTTCACCGGAAAATGACGGACAAAAAACCTAACCGCAAACGTACGTGAGAGAAATCATCATGGGTCAGCACTAGTTGAAGGATCTATGCAGGCGGAACACCGCCCAAACTCAAATGCGAATGCGGAAGAAATACGCTCAGAAAGTCCTGGGAGCGAAATCATACGAAGTAGGACAAAATATGAACATCAACGCCCCAAAAAAGTATCATGAAGCTATTAAAGAAGTCGAGGGGGGCTTTTGTGATCACAGAGGTACACCAACAAGGTTGGTTCTACCTTCTGAGCACTGGACGGACGGCGCACTAGGAACATTGAAAACTCTACTTAGCATCGTCAAAATGTTGGTGGAATCTGATGGAAATGGAGGCCATATATTACATTGTTGTAGAACCGCCTTTTGATGAAAATGAGAAAGGAACCCTCGTGAAGTTCCATGTTATAAGCAAGCCGTGGATTTGATCCGACTGGCTGAGGTGCAAAAGCACAGGAGATTTGCTGATGTCCCGGATTCTTGATGCCGACCCTTGAGCCAATGGTTTTAGGGCCCATTTTTCTTAACCTCAAATGAGCCTTGAGTACTAATCAAATTTGTTTTTTGAGACTAACATTTGATGACATTATCTAGAGACGAAAAAGCAGCACAAAGAGGCAATTCGTTTGATAGACTGCTGGCTTAAAACATTTGCATTTTTCAGACATCAAATATTGACTCTTCAAGATCAAACAAGATTCCAGAGCAGTGGAAAAACTGTACAAACTAGGGCTCAACTCACTGCAACGAGTGGTGTCACAGAAATAAAAGCTGGCTGGACTATTGATGACCATATTTCGTAGTCAAATGAAGCCGTCACCGAATGGAAAAATGCAAAAAGGGCACGAGGCAAATGAAGCGAGAAGACAGCTCAAAGTTTAGAGGAGCGAAGTACGCGTTCTGATTTTTGCTTCAAAAACAGTTTTAATTGCATTTTGCAAATAATTGAAGACAGCAACTGTATGTCAAAAAAACTTACATCAAAATTTAGCAATTTAGGAAACATTTTGAATGTGGCGGCGACCAAACTTTATTTCAAGTGCAAGGTTGCAGAGTATGTTCAAACTGATGGTCTAGCAATGGGCGCTTTCCTCGCAGTAAATTCTTGTAAATCTATGGCAGAGAGATTTTGAAATTGTCTTAAAACAGGAAATTCCAGGGGATGGAGATTCAGCCAGCGGATGGAAAGAACGGTTTGTGTCCAATATGCAGCAAAGCAGCTGGAAAATAACATAAAGATAAAACAGACTTGAGTGCGGGAGATGACGAAACTGCGCATATCCTAAATGCGGAAAAAAACATCTGATGATATATACGCATCAATCACCAAGAAATTTTGATATTGCAAAGGCTGCCACGCTAAAACTAATGAGAAGGATACTCCAGAGGTAAAAATTTTTATTTTCAGCTATGTTGATGATATTTTAGGAGAATCAAAGGTGAGCCAATTCGTGTTCATGATGTTGCCAATTCTCTTCATCCGATTGTTTCGTT